CATTAATGGGAATTAATAAAAACCACTAATGTTTTAGTATAAAATACATGCATGGTTTTGTTATTCCCAGCAATGGTTGTTCTCTCAAACACTTCCATTAATGGGAATTAATAAAGTCATCATGTTATTTTCSAAAGAAATCGTTAATGTTTCTTAAATTCCCATTCATGGTTTCCTAAATACAATGGGAATTAAATTATAAAGCCATTCATGTTTTTATTTTGAGAATGGGAATTACCTAAAAAACATTTTTTTGGCTAAAAAACATTTTTTTGGCTAAAAAACATTTATGTTTTTTTAGTTTTTTCTCCTGTGACATATGTTCTTCAATATAAAATGTTTGGTAACATAATATTTATGATAATTTTTCGAAGCATTGATACATTATTTTCAGTCATTATTTTTGCATAATTAAAAAATGTTTTTTGGATGAATGTTACTTCATGCTCTGCAGTGTAAATTCCATTCCACGGAAAAAGTGGGTTGACTTAATGTCCAGGAAATGGTATCTGGCACAATCTCACTGTCTCTCACCTTGAGCAGAGGCCATGGTGAACACAAACAAGAACTGTGTGATTAAATGTTTTTCCTTTGGTTTATGACTGCAGGACTAAAATTTTTAGAATGCATACTTATGGAATAAAATCTTGTTTTATTAATAAAACTAATGCATGAGAAAAAACATGCACAACAACAAAGTATGAATTGACACAGAGTTAACTAATAAAAATGGTTTTCATGACTCTGCTCAGTCTCTTGGTACTGATTGAAAGTGACTATTAATTGCCAAACCCCTCAGCATCTGTAGTCGCAGATGAAAAAACAGAAATCAATGACTGTTCGTTGTCTATATGGACTGGGATGTTTAACAATAGATCACATGTTGAGGTCGTTGGCCGACAGTTGCATCCTTTTTCACAATCATGTACAAAGAAAACAGTAATTTTCTTGGGCAGCCCAAGAGGAAGGAGAGAACTGGATCCTGTGAGCCACTTCAGGAATAGACTGAACAACCATTTGCATCCAGGGTTTGAACATAATTTCAAAAGTGGTAGTGAACATCAATCTCTTTCTCTTTTCTTAGCTGAGAGAGAATAAAATAATAAATGAACTGCTCTGCCAAAGAGGTATGTAGCCCTCTAGGGGACATATGTAAAAATAATTTTGGTCGAGTTTTTTGTCGAGATTTTTTTTCTGTTGCGTTTTTGGTCGAGTTTTTTGTCGAGATTTTTTTTTCTGTTGCGTTTTTTGTCGACGTTTTGGTACCAAAATGGTACATCAAATCCTGAAAAGTCCTGGGTCTAATTTTACTGCGCGCGCATGCTATATAAGGTTATATCTAAAACCAAAATGGCGGAGAGAAGAGAACGAGACAGGCTTATTGAACAATACTTTCACCTTGGATACTCTCAAAAAGAAATAGTTTGCTGTCTTCTGTTGTTGCACCGTCAAACATTAAGTATCACGCAGCTGAAAAGAGTACTCGCTTCGAAAGGCCTGACAAGAAAGGGCTGTTTCTCAGACCTCCGAGCGATAGTAAGTGCTATTGAACAAGAGCGTAGAGGCAGTGGAAGTGAAATTGGCTATAGAGCTATGTGGCAGAGATTAGTGGTGSAACATGGTCTAGTGGTTAGTAAAGAAGCAGTAAGGCATGCCCTCAGTGTTGCCGATCCTGCTGGAGTAGAACGACGTTTACGGCATCGTTTACAAAGGCGACAATACAACGGTCATGGTCCTAATCACCTCTGGCATATAGACGGCTATGACAAGCTAAAACCATTCGGATTTTGTGTACATGGTTGTATAGACGGCTATAGTAGACGGATTATGTGGTTAGAAGTCGCGACAACGAACAATGACCCAGCTGTTGTTGCAAAGTACTATGTTAAATGCATTAAAGAAGTTGGTRGCACATCACGTATTGTACGAGCCGATTATGGCACTGAAAACACTAATATTGCAGCAATGCAACGTTTTCTTAGAAGTAGTTCTTGTGATTCATTTGCTGGGGGCAAAAGCTTTCTTTATGGTCGTTCAGTCTCTAATCAAAGGATAGAAGCTTGGTGGAGCCAGTTGAGAAAGGGGTCTCTATTGTGATTCCAACACAATTCGGGATTCTTAATATTATTTGGCGCGAAAACGAAAGCGAGGCTAAGCACGTTCGCGGCGGCAAATTTCAACATGGCGGCCGAGTGTTGTTGTGTGCCACTGTGTACAAGCAGTCGCAAAAAGAACCCAGAAGTCTCTTTCCACCACTTCCCTAAAGATAAAAAACTGAAAAAGGAATGGATCCAAAAGATTAGACGGGATGAAGGACCGCACTTTAAGGTAAGACCTTTATTTTTGCTGATTAAATTCTGCATGTTTTCCATGTAGTGTTTGTTTTCGTTACGATTGTATAGATTGTAACTTAGAATAAAGCTTCACTTTTGATTATCATTTATTACCGTCCAATATACCGTTTAACCGAACCTCTGGAGCATTTTATCCGGTTACATAATATAGATTTCCCTTCTTTTGTAGGTTACACGGGCTACTTATGTTTGTTCGAGGCATTTTCGCGAGGASGACTTCAAATKGACTCCGAATCGAAAGTGTCTCGTATCAGGAGCAGTTCCAACAATATATTATTGGACGTCAGATACCAGTAAACCACCCCGAAAACCTCCAGCAAAGAGAAGAATTGTATTTTCAGAAAGGTATTTCTAATTTTTTTTTGTTTTTGGCAACTTCCTGATACAAGACACTTGAATCGAATGAACAAGTCTACATTACTATTCTATGAAAACGAAGTAAGCTTAATACAGTTAAATTTTTTTTATAAAAAGTGAATGAAGTTCAATTATTATGCAAAATGTTGACTCTACCTGTTTCATATTAGATCAAATGAGTCAGAAAGTGAATCAGAGTTTAAAGAAAACAGGTAAAACTACATATTTGTAGGTTGTCCTTATATCAATAATACTGTAGATTTATATTTTGTTTATGAATCTTTATCAGTACACCTGTAGAGAGTGAGCAGGAGACAGTGAGGTTAAAGCTCAAACTTCTAGACTTAACAGAACAACTTGCTAGCAAAGAAAAAGAATGCCAGGAACTTAGGCAGCGACTAACCTTAGAAAGATTTGGAATAGAAAGATTTTCAACTGATGATAAATTAATTAAGTTTTATACAGGTTTTCAAAATTACGAGATTKTATATACTTTTTAMAGTTATATTCATAATTCTGCYAACTCAATGAAGTCTATGTATTATGATGCTTCAGAAACTCCCAGTCCAGCCGGMAGACCTAGAAATATGCTTTTAATAGATGAGTTCTTCATGTTTTTATGTAGAATGAGGGCAGGGCTTCTAGAACAGGACCTTGCTGTTAGATTTAATATAAATATTTCTTCAGTCTCTAGAAAGATTATAACATGGTCTAATTTCTTGTATTTTGTTCTTGCATCAATG